ACAAATCTCAGCACAGAAAATTGTGCAAAGACGGCATTTCTATTATTCCTTCAATTTATTTGGACAAACAAAATCTAGCTTTGATATAAAGTTATTACAGTTTCAGAATGGAAGTTTCTTACATCCTTCAAACTTAATAGTTTAAAAATGAAATTAAAATCAAATCTTGCTTAAAAATTTCCCATTCTCCAAGTCATCTCCCTCTCTCCTCCATAAGGACATGTCTACAGGAGAGACATAGAATGTTTTCCAACATCAGGGTCTTTTCCAATGAGTCCAGTCTTCTCATTATGTGGCCAAGTATTTAAGCTTTGGCTTCAGTATTTGATCTTCCAGTGAAAACTCTGATTTAATTTCTTTATGTATTAACTAATTTGATCTCTTTGCTGTCCAAGGGATTCTCAAAAAGTCTTCTCTAGCACCACAATCCAAAAGTTTAGATTCTGTGGGGTGTAACTTTCTTTATAGTCCAACTCTCACAGCCATGCATTACTACTGGAAAAAAACATAGTTTGGGCTATACAAACCTTTGTTGGCAAGGTGATATCTCTTCTTTTTAGTATGGTCTCCTGATTTGCCATAATTTTCCTTCCAAGGAGGAAGAATCTTTTAATTTCATGGTGACAATCACCACCTGCAGTGATCTTTTAGCCTAAGAATAAAAAAATCTGATACTGCTTCCATTTCTCCTCCCTATATTTGCCAGGAAGTTGTCATAATGTTTTTTTTTGGTTAAGCTTCAAGACAGCTTTTGAACTTTCCTCTTTCACCTCATCAAGAGGCTTCTTAATTCCTCTTTAATTTCTGCCATTAGAGTGGTATTTTCTGCATATCTGAGAATCCTGATAGTCCTCCCAACAACCTTAATTCTGGCTTTTGATTCATCCACCTGGCATTTCACATGATGTACTCTCCATATAAGTTAAATGAATAAGGTGTTTTGCCATATTACCTTTTCAATCTTCAATCAGTTGTTCCATGTTCAATATTTTTTTTTTTAGGCAATTGAGGTTAAGTGACTTGCCCAGGGTCACACAGCTAGTAAGTGTCAAATGTTTGGTCTGAGGTGGATTTAAACTCAGGTCCTCCTGACTTCAGGGCTGGTGCACTATGCATTGCACCACTTACCTGCCCCTCTAACTTCTGCTTCTTGATCCACATGCAGGTTCCTCAAAAGACAAGTAAGATGATCTGCTACTCCTATTTCTTTGAAGACTTGCCACATTTTGTGGTGATACACCAAATCAAAGGCTTTCTTGTAGTCAATGAAGCAGAAGGAGATGTTTTTCTGGAACAACTTTGCTTTCTCCATATTGCAGTGAATGTTGGTAATTGGTTCTCTAGTTCCTCTGCCTCTTTGAAAATCAGTCTTCTCTTCTGGTAATTACTGGTTTACATATCAATGAAGCCTAGCTTGCAGAATCTTAAGCATAACCTTGCTGGCATGTGAAATGAGCACAATTGTTTAGTAATTTGCACATTCTTTAGCATTGCTCTTCTTTAGGATTGGGACATAAAGTGATATTTTCCAAACCAGTGGCCACTGTGGAGTTTTCAAATTTGCTGGTATACTGAGGGGAGCACTTTAACAACATCATCTTTTAGAGTTTTAAATAGCAGCTGGAATTCCATCACCTCAACTAGCCTTATGGTTAGCAATGCTTCCTAAGGCCACCTTGACCTCATTTTCCAGGATGTCTGGCTCTAGATCAGTAACCATACCATCATGGTTATCAGTGATGTTAAGATTTTTCTTGTATAGTTCTTCTGTGTATTCTTGTGACCTCTTCTTGATTTCTTTTACTTCTGTTAAGTCTCTACCATTATCTTTTATCATGTAATTTTTGCATGAAATCTTCCCTTGATATCTCTAATTTTCTCAAAGAGATCTCGTCTTTCTGATTTTATTATTTCCTTCTATTTCTTTGCATTGCTCATTTAAGAGACCTTCTTATCTTTCGTTGCTATTCTGTGGAATTCTGCATTCATCTGGGTATATCTTTCCCTCTCTCCTTTTCCTTTCCTTCTTTCTTCAAATATTTGTAAAGCCTCATCAGATAATCATTTTGCTTTCTTGCTCTTCTTTTTCTTTGGGATGTCTTTTGTTGTTGCCTGTACAATATTGTGAATCTCTGTCCATAGTTTTTCAAGCACTCTATCTACCAGATCCAATCCTTTAAATCACTTCCACTTCATCTTCATAAGGGATATTATTTAGGTCACGTTTATGGTCTGATGCCTTTCCCTACTTTTTTCAATTAAATTTGAAATTTTCAAGAAGTTCATGATCTGAGCCACAGTCAGCTCCAGGTCTTGTTTTAACTGACTATATAGAGCTTCTCCACCTTTGGCTGCAAAGTATGTGACCAATCTGATTTCCTTATTGACCATCTGGTGATGTGCAATTGCCTTTTGGATTATTGAAAAAGTGTTTGCCATGACCAGTGAGTTATATTGACAAAACTCTATTATTCTCGGCCCTGCTTCATTTTATACTCAAAAGTCAAACATGCCTGTTATTCAAATCATCTTTTGATTCCTCACTTTAGCTTTCCAATCTCCTGTGACGAATGTGACACTTTATTTGGTGTTATTTCTAGAACATGTTGTAAGTCTTGAGAGAACTGATCAACTTTGGCCTCATCAGCATCAGTGGATGGAGGACAGACTTGTATTACTTTGATGTTGAATGGTTTGCCTTAGTTTTGAACAGATTTCATTTGGTGATTTTTGAGATTATACCCCAGTATTGCTTTTCTTATCTATTTTTTTTATTAACTATGAGGTTTATTCCAAGTCTTGCCCACAGTAGCATATTAAATTAAATTCACCCATTCCCATCCATTTAAGTTCACTAACACCCAAGATGTTGATGTTCAAATTTTCCATCTCCTGTCTCACCATATCCAGTTTGCCTTGGTTCATAGACCTTGCATTCTAGTTTCCTATGAAATATTAATCTTTAAAGTATCAGACTTTCCTTTTGTCAACAAACACATCTACATTTGAGCTTCCTTTTGGCTTAGGCCCAGTTGCTTCATTAAAACTGGAGCTACTTATAGTTGTCCTCTGCTCTTCACCAGTACGTGTTGGACACCTTCTGACCTGAGTGGCTCATCTTCTGGTGTCGCGTTTTCATTTTAATACTGTTTTTAATATTTTAATCATTTAATATTGTTCATGGGGTTTTCTTGGCAAAGATACTGGAACAGATTGCCATCTCCTCCAGTGGATCACTCTTTATCAGAACTCTCCACTATCACCTGTCTGTCTTGGGTAACCCTGCATAGTATAGCTCATAATTTCAATGAGTTATGCAAGCTCTTTTACCACAACAAGGCAGTGATCCAGGATATATACTTGTCAGCTTCCTTCTCTTTGAGAAGAGTCTGACACATAGTCTTGTGGGTGGCAATGGGCAGCAATGATTGAGACTTTCCAACTATGTGGCCCCAAGAGAAGATGAAGTCATATATGTCTCAAGTTTTCTGGAAGGAGAAAGAATGATTTCCTGGACAATGGAAAGTTCTGGGATCCAAGATTCTAGAATCTGGCCAGCACCAGTCTCTTATATTTAAGTTGAATTTGTAGCCCTGGATATAGAGAAGAAGCAAGTAACTGAGGCATGATATAGAACAACGAAACCTGGACTCCCAATGGCCTAAACCAGTGATGTCAAACTCAAATAGAAATGAGGTAGAGGGGGGCACTACATAAGAATCCCTGTGGGCCACACAGTACCTTAGAAAACTGTATGTTAACATTATCAACATTCTATTCGATTTTGATTTATTTTGTTAAATATTTAATCATTCATTTTATTCTGGTTCCAGCCATACTAGGCAGTGTTGTGGCCTGGGCCTGTGGCCTGTGGCCTTGATCTAAACCAAGATCACGTTGGCTCTCAAACTTTCTCACAGTCCAAATGTGAATCAATGCATCACCACCCCATATGAATAACTCAATCTATTCTAAAGATCACAGGATAATAGATTTCAAGCTTGGTGGAACCTTGGAGGGCATCTGCTCCAACCTCCCTACATCAAAGATGAACAGATCGGGGCACATACAGGTTAAGGGATTTGCCTCAAGTTATATAGATAGTAAATAGCTGAAGCAGGATTCAAACCCAAGTGCTCTCATTCCAAATCCCATACATTTTCCTCCTGACACTCAGTGACTATGGATCCCTGTTTATCCCTCTCTTGTCTTCACACTTCCCAGTTTGAAATCTTGGCTTCTTTCTTTGGTCCTCACTTGCTATATCCTACTAGTATATTTACCAATCCCTAAAATGCTTCCTGCATAAGAAATTTTGCTTACATTATTCTTGGCTTCGCAATTTCAACAACAGTAACCAGATCAGCCATAGGTCATATATACACACATTCATGTGGGTCCTGTATGAGTACTCTGATATGATAAGTACTAGTGATGGATAACTGAAATCTAATAAAAATATATGATGAGTCACTGCAGGAAAAATGACCCCAATGGTTGATAATTCCATATGAATTTGGAATCCAACATTGCTTATCTGTTCATAGCCTGCTTGTTATTGGTGACCTTCCAGGAATTAAAACAAATCTCATCAGTAAATTATAGTTAGGTTCTGGCATGACTGCCAACAGGCTAATCGCTAAATATTGGACAATGGCCAAAGAGCTGAATACAGCAGCTCCAAAGTGGTATGTTTGTGTGGGGGCCTCTGCTAAATCAGAGAACTAATCTGTTATTAAATGCTAAAGTGGATCTAAACGTGTGGTTTTTGTGCTCTTGGCATTTCAGATTCAACGTGTATGCCTCCTTCATGTTTATGTTCAGTAAATACTGTACACGAGTTCCTGCTATACAGCCTACTTTCTATTCTCCTATCACCACTCTCATTTACCCAGGACAAATATTCCTCCTTGTTCCCCTTCTCTTCTCTGTTTCATATGAATTTTGGTAATATACTCCAGGAGGCCAAATTCAGAAAAACAATACTGCATCATACTCACAACCACAGGGAGTTCCTTCCTTGGGTGATGACACCTGTGAATTTGGTCAGCCTCCTGGCATCAACTTCAATCCACTGGTGAAGGTCGTTTCGTCCTGCACACCAAGCTCCATCATAAAAGTCATTTTCATTAATACCTGCCTGGAAAAAAAAAAACCAAAACCAAAACCAAAGGTATTTTCAGAAAACCAAGAAAATCTGAACCCCATCTTTAAAGAAGGGGGAGGCAAATGCACGCATGTATGTAGGGGGATGAAGAAAAGGGAAAGTGAGGCAATGACTTAAAAGTCTTTATTCCCTACAGTATTTGTTGCATGACATCATGGAGCATATACTTTATAAACACTTGGAAATTTTTTCGTGTTCCATATCTGTTGCTTGGCCCATGTGAGAGCCTGACTTAAAATTCTCTCCTGTTGGGTTTATATTTACTGGATTAGCATTTAATTGGATCATTTGGCAAGCTGAATATCAGCTACTATTACCACCCAAAGATTCTCTTGGCAGAAGTTCATAAGCCAAACGAATGAAATGCTAGTGGATTTATCCCATAACAATCTCCATTTTGGGGAAAATAATGATTCTATTGCCTGAGTCAAGTTGCCAGAACATATGGACACAAAGTAAAGCCCCCCGACTGACTTCTGTCTGATGGACCCACCTGTTTCTGAGGAATAGAAGGATTTAGCTTGCTAAGGAAAAGTTCATATTCATCTCAAAGACAAAGCTTATGCTGATCTTATCTCTAAAGACCATCTTTATGTTCTTCAAACATTCTTCAACTCAATCTGTAAGGAGAGTTCTTCATGTGAATTACAAAACTGAAGGAAAATTTAGAATTAATCCTTGGCAGATGGTCATTTTAGGAGAGGATTGTAGCAATGAGGCCCTTCAATTACTGTAACCATTGTTCTAAAAAGAATTTATGAGATTGGAAGGACCTCTGAAGGCCATGTAGTCTACCTGAAGAGGAATCCCTTCTTCAGCATGCTTGAGAAGTGGTAAGGCATTCTTTGTTTGAAGACCTCCAGTGAAAGGCACCCACTACTTCCTGAGACACTCCATTCCACTTTGGGGCAGATTTAATTGCTGGGAAATTTTTCTTTATACATTAAGCTAAATGTGTCTGTAATTTCCACTCATTTCTCCTAGTCCTCTTTGTTCATCTGGGGCCAAGCAGAAAGAAATTTAATCATTGTCCCATATCAAAGACCTTCAAATGCTTACAGGTTTATTATAGTAAAAATATTATATACCAAATAAAGATAATAGATTGATCTCTTTATATTATTTCTCATGTGCATATGTATGGTGAACTCTTTCATACTGAATAGGGGGTGTGGGAAGTTCACTTAACTGAAAATGAAAGGGTATGGGGAGCAAAAAATATCGGGAACCCCTATCTTAGTTGGCTGAAGGACTAAGAGGATATATGGCTTGTCTAGGGTCATACAGCTAGTATACATAAGAGCTCAACTCTAATCTGATTTAATCTGATTTTAAGGCCAGCTTTCAATCCAGTATGGTAACACTGTCAAGCAAGAAGAAGTTAGGTAAGCATGACCTAGGCTTGATAGAGCCATACTAATTATTTGTCCTCACTTCCCTTTATAAATGGTAATTAAACATTCTAGAATTTTGAGAGAAATCAAAATCAAAATCATCCTGCAATAATTAGAAAACTACACTTGCTTTCCTTTTTTGAAAGTTGGAACATCTGCTCTCTCCAATCCTATAGGACCTTTACCATTTTCCAGGATCTTTCAAAGATCACTGTTAGTACCTCAGAAATCAACCCTGCCACTCCTTTCAGTATGCATTTATATATGTCAGCTGAGCTTGGTAACTAGAAGTCATCAAAGGCATTGACATTATCCCTTATTTTCTATTAAATGTGGATTTTCTATTAAACATGGCTGTCAATTCAAGAGTACTTAACAGTGTATGGTTGAACAAGCAAATCAATTCACAATCAAAATATTTATTAAGCACCTACATGATAGACATTGTGCAAATAAGCACTGAGGACATAAGTACCAAGAAAGAAAACAATTCCTTCTACATTGAGTTTATAGGCTAATGAGAGAGACGATTCCATTCTAATGCCAGAGAACCACAGGGTCAAGCCTATGAAGGGAAGTAAGTGGGAAAACAGGAAGGGTTATGAGCTCAGTCAGTCAACAAGCATTTTTTTGGAAGTTTATTCTATGCCAGATACTTGTACTAAGTACTGGGGATATAAAGAAATGCAAAAATAAGGTCCTTGCCCTCAAGAATTTTACTTCTAATGGGTGATGGGAAGCAAGGTGAAAAAAAAAACTGAGCATATAAGATAGATATGGTATAAATAAGAGTAATCTTGGAATTATTAGCAGTGTGGGCGTAGGAGGAAAGGAGAAAATGAGAAAGGCTTCTGGAAAAAGATAAGATTTGAATTGAGGAGGAGGGAGGGCATTCCAAACATGTAAGACAACCAGTACACAGAGTTAGAACATGTCATATGCTAAAAACAGCAAGAAGGACAATATCATTGGATAGTTGAGTATGCAGATGGGAGTAAAGTATAAGAAAACTGGAAAGTAGGAAGATACAGGTTATTAAAGGGCTTTAAAAGCCACACAGAGGACACAGAGGTTATCTGATCCTGGACGTAACAGGGAGCTGTAGTTTATGGAATGGGAGAGGCTGCAAATGACAGTCAGATATGCACTCCAGGAAGATCACTTAGGCAGCAGCATTGGAGGTGGACTGGATTTGGGGAGAAGCATTTAAGAACAGAAGCTTGTGAGGAGAAAGGATTTCAGAGTTGTGAATCACAGAGGTTAATAGTCAGATCATAGTCATATTCCCTTTCTCACCGTACATTTCCACTGTGTGTAACTGATGAAGGTAACATTGGAGAGCATGGCAGTTTAAAAGGCTAATTAACTTTGAGGTCATGGTAAAATAGGAGCAACAACATATAGCTAGCATTTATAGAGCACTTTAAGGTTTTCAGAGCCCTTTAGGGATACCTCCATTTTACAGACAAGGAGAATGAAGGAAACAGAGTTCAAAGGACTTACTTGCCCAAGCATCCAACACCTACAGAATGTCTGAGGCTGTGATTTGAACTCAGTCTTGACTACAGGTCCAGCACTCTATACAAAGTCCCCAAATATGAGAACAGGGGTTGGGGTGGACACTAGTATGCATGACTGTGACAAGGAATTGAATTAGGTGATAGAGATAGAATGAACCTCAAGGAGGTTTTTGAATAACGATCAAAAAGGGACAGCCTAGAAGTGGGAGTGAGGAGTATGCTTACTCATTTCTCTAGCCCAGTGCTTTGGGGACCATAAGTTTAAGAACACAGAATCCTGGAAAGAGTGGCAAGGGATGCAGAGTTTTCTAGGGAGAGCCAGATACCACTTAATACATGGAAAGAGTGTAAAGTATAGAACCTATTGCAATTCAGTCTCCATTTACCCAAAGAAAATTTTCTGAAGTAACATTCCCCTACCCTACCCCAGTCAAACTGGAGAACACAGGGGAAAATGTGGTAGTTCCTACTTCCCAGTAGTTCTTAACTCCCAGAATGGTTGTGAGGTTCACATGAGACAATGCATGTAAAATGATCTGCAAATTTAAAGTGCTATCTCAATGATGTCAGCTATCTCTTGCCTAACTGTCTGAACTCTACATTGCTCCTGGCCTTATAGTCTATTAGGGTTGGGAGATAAAACGCATACAGTAAGAAGAAAATACAAGATACATATAAAAGAAATATAAAATAATTTAAGGTATGGGAGTGTAGCTTCTAATAACTGGTAGAATCAAGAAAGGTTTCTTGGTGGTGTCACTTGAACTGTGCCTGGAGTTCCAAGAGGTAAGATTAGAAAAGACATCATTCCAGGCATGAGGGACAGCTTGGGAAAACACAGAGGTGGAAGACATAATGCTACATATGGAGAAGAGCAAGAAGACTGGAACTGGGATGGAGGGAGATAATGCACAATCAGCCTCGGAAGAAAGGCTGAAGGCAGATTTCAAAGGGTTTCAAATGGTTAATATATATGCCGTCTACCTCCCAGGGTTATTCTGAAGATCAGATGAGATAATACACATGAAATTTCTTTGTAACTACAAAGCAGTCTAGCAGTTAGAAGTGAGAAGTAAGTCTGATCCTGGAGATTCCAGGAGGAGTAAATCTGTTCTAATATTCTAACCTGGATGCTCCCATACATATTTCATGTTAGGGCAGGAGTGTGAGTATGCCTGGGCCTGCCTATGCTTAAATTTCTTAAGCTGGATATTTCTAAAAGGTGAAAGAACTACAATTGCAGGAGAATTATGACAAGATTTCTGAACAAGGGAAGATGTGGCTACAGGTAGAATTCAGCAAGTTAACTAGCTGTGCACAATGTTTTATCCTTGAATACACACATATACACACATATGCATATATATACATATATACATATATATATACATATATATACATATATACATATATATACATATATATACACACATATATATATATATAATACGTATGTGCGTATATGAAAATATATACACACATTCTTGTGGAGTATTATGTAGGGCAGTCATCAGATAAATGACCATTTTCAAAGCTTGCAGTTCAGTTCTTCAATAAAGTCATTTCTCCCAGGCTTTTACTGTCTGACAGTAAGGAGGACAATTCAGATAGGAGGATCACATGCTTTCAAATACTCATGAGGAACCCCTTCTTGCTCAGCTTCTAGATATTCCTGACACAAATGATAGGTATACTGTAGAGAAGTCCTGTGGGCACTCAATCAGAAATCTTTAAAAAATCTTTAAAAAGGAGTTTCCCCACCCTGTGACCCAAGTACCCTGGGGGGGGGGGAAGGTTGACTAAATTCCCTCATCTCTTTTTCTCTCTTTCTGTCTCTCTTTGCCTCTGTAACTGTTTCAACAACCACAAACATTTATTAAATGCTTACTCTGTGTCAGACAGTGTGCTAATTACTGGGAATATAAATACAAGCAAAAGGAAAGACAGTTCCTGTACTCAAGGAGCTTACATTCTAATGGGAGAAGGCAACATGTAAAAGGAACTGGAAAAGAGAGTCAGGAACAGAAAGTCCAGAAAGGAATGAAAGTGTGAACACAGC